TCTTCCAAAAATATTTATTAAGATCATGAAGCGTGAAACGGTGGGGAAGGAGTTAATACACCTGACTTCTTAGAACTTCTAAGAATGTTATGAACATTTTAAGCCGAATTAGAAGATCTATGTAGACAAAAGTAGTATTTCGAAAGACACATGTTTGATGTACCTCAAAATCTGTACATTAAATTTTCGATGACTAGAGTTTTATTGAACTGCTTAGCTAGGAATATTTTCATAATTATTGATGCTTGATAGTAAACACGACTTCCTTGTTCAACAGTCAGTCAAACATAGACAACTTTAAGATTAGCTAAAAAATAATTTTAGAACTTAAAAGCCACTTAAATGTCTTTCCATGAGAAATATTGTGTAGAAATTTCATTTACTCCTGTACATTATTTAGTGTTAAGCTCAGTATTATGGTTTATCTGTTTCTTAGTTCTTATATATATAATAGATATATTTGATAATGTAGCAAACTTAAACGACCTAAAATCTGGCCTAATTAAATATCGATTCAAGTTTCTTCACTTTGTTTCAATGTAGCGTAACAAATTTAATAATAAAAATAATATAATTTAAAAAAAAAGTCTATTTGAAGAAGGAAATGTGTTTACAATATTTAGGTAATGAATAAGTGAAATATATAGGCGGCTAATATATTGTACATTTCATATTAACGTTACTCACTTGTTAATCCGGTCACTCATGAGCTATATATCCGGAACATACACTCTGGGATATAATTTTTAATGAATATTTTGTCTTATTTATAAATTTACCCATGAATAAGGTTAGAACGATAAATGTAACAGAATACTTTAGATCCATTTATTTCGTCGACTCTCGTCAACCGCTTATAATCTAGAAAAAATGGTAATAAATATATGAAACGAGTTTACATTATTATTGTTTTAATAAGAATCAGTAAACAATAAATATGGAAGAAATATGAAAATGTTTTGAGCTTTCACACTAATTAGAATATTTATCTGTCTGAAATATTTCGTCATATAAAATTTCATTTCAATAAATCAGATAGTATTTATGACAAGTTCCCTCGGTTCATACTTATTTAATAACAAATTCTTACTAAAATTCACTACGTTTTTTACATTGAGTATATGCTACTAAATCTGACGTGTAAATTTGTGAGAAGCTGTGACCAATGTACTTCAACTTTGCTGGGTGTTAGTCTTTAACCCACCGAAAACAATATATAATTGAAGATAGGCATTTACAATATTGGATCCCGGCTCAATCGTCTAAAAACTGAGCTCTTTTTGCGTGAGATTCGACGATTCAAGGTTCGTTCTCCTGTGGTGGGGTTGTAGGTGCTCACTGCTTCCAATTGTGTTCTGGTTGTCTTAGGTCGGTTCGCGGTCTTAAATGAACCCATTATATTTATCACTTCTGGAAAGATGGATATTATTTGCATTCCTTATTATGACACTGATATTTTGCTCAGATGAATCTTGGGGTATTATTCGTTTGTAAACATTTAAACTCTTTATGTATATTTAAAAAAATTAAAATATCTTCTACTGTGTACAATTTTTATCCTTTCCATTATCTGTTTCGTTATGATCTACTCAGGGTTGTTTTAATAAAGAAGTAAATCATGTCATAGACTTTTTGATCCATCTTATCACTTATTGGCCAGATCAGTCTACCACAATTGTTTCTTCATCTACAACGACGGCAGGAACTAATAAACTTGAACATCATTCAGTCAGTAATAATCACAATAACTTATTGACTAGTAAATTCACAATCCATTCATTATATCGTAGTTTAAATCGTACTATACTTTATCAATTATCTCGTCCGATTCTTACAAATGCTGATCAGTTACAAATAATTAATTTATTGAACCGATTAAATAATACTTCAGTACAATGTACTAGTAATAATATAACAAATATTAATCCTATAGAAGAATTGAATCTAAATATTAATCGTGGTTACATTGAGATTGATCAACTTCGGCCTACTACTACACATTGTCATGAGCACATTCCATTGATATTTAATTCAATCAATGAAGATATTGAATTTCCAGCGTGTTTAGTTCACTTGTTAATTCAACTTATACACTTAAATGATGGACACGATGAAAGTTTAGGCAATGTGACAGATTATTCAAATAATTCAACATCAGTGATTAATAAATCGTCGACCCTGAGTCAAATTTCTTCAATTACTTCATGTACAAAAACTGATCATGACAGTTCAAATAATAATAGTAATGATAATGATAATAATCTTTCACTTGAATCATCTTCTGTTAATTATTATCATACGACATTTGGATTTGATGAATTAGACAATAATTTTGACGATACAATCTTATCTTTATCAAATGTGACAACGGGAACAGAGAATAATACCGTAATTCCAGCATCAAAACAACAACTATCCTCATCATCTACAATATCAGTAAATAAACAATTCACTAATTTTCATTTAGACAATAATGAATTACCTAATGACAGTACAAGTACTACTTTGAATTATTCAAAATCTTCAAATGTAAATAGTAGACAACAGTCTGATCAAATAATTGGTAATTATACAAAAGAAATTGTTCTAGCTGCTTTAAAACTTTGGTCGAAATGTTATTTAGCTAAAAAATCAGTAAGCTCAATTCATTCTATCTTACTCTTTCCTTTTTTTTTAAAAAAAGAGTTTGGTTTCTTATTGTAGTAGGTAAACGGATATTTTTTTAAAGAAAAAAAAACAACCATGAAAACGACTAAATTCGACTATGGAAACATAAAATTTAGATCAATATCAATGCACAATTTTCAAATTACTTATTAGTTTACATGTTTATGTAAATTAATATGACAGATTGAAATGATAAGAGATTTGTTTTATATTATCTTTAATTAAGGTATTTTAGTTTCCTTTTGACTGCTTTTATTTGCTAAGGCACCACAATTTTAACTCAATCAGATCTTGGTCATATTTTAATGAAATTTTACAGTTGATTATTACTTCATTAAAATGGTAATACTATTCGAGTTAGCTGTAAAATTATGTTACTGGACGAAATGGAATAACTTTAATCATATTTAAAATGTGAACAACAATGGTAGATTATTAACGATTTGACTAAATATGATACTTTAAATAGTAGTCAGGAAAGAAATTCAGAATATACATTTTAGTTTACTTAGGTTTGTTCAGACTGATCTTATCAGTATTTCAGTTTTAATATTTTTTACTAATGCTCTTGAATCTAGTACAGATCATTTCAAATCCGGACCGTGATCACGTAGACATCTAATTCACGTTAATTACCAGCTTTCTCATTGGGGATGATATCAAGTATTAATTGTAATAATAAGTTCATTTTATATCAAGAAAGAGAAAATATGATTGAGAATGAGTTCGGTTAAGTGTTTAAATGTTGAAAGTAGAGCTAATGAGTAATATATATCTTCATGAGATTAAGGTTAGAACTATGGATTTCTTTTTCAGGAGGTTGTTCGAATCCGGTCAATTAGTCTTTTAGAAGTGGTGGTTAACAATGTAACATAATTTTGTTCGGAGAAACTGATAAATTTGAATCGAGTTTTTCAACATTGAATGAATTTTTTTAATATTTTCACTGTGTTATGTCAATGACTTTTTGTCGATATGAACAATTCGGTCAAAGTTTTATATGCACTTTTTAATAATGCAGTAGGAATATCATCGAATGAAATGCATATTTGTTCAACCTTAAGGTTATACAATAAGACTAACGAGAGAAAGAGGTGGACTGGTGGCTTCAAGTCTTGCTTAGATTCTGTTTATAAGGTAGTAGACTGTCTACACGTCATTGTACATCTTTACTAATTGGTTAACAACAATTTGAGTCTCGACTTTCATTTAACTTTGAGTAGCAGCATATTGATAGGTTAACAGTCGATGTATAGTAGATGGAATCTAGTACACATATTTCGTTCTGTTTGAGGCTCATTGACTCAGTAGCTCATGGGTTAACGTGATGGGGTTTGGAATAGACGGTATTGAGTTCGAGTCCCGGAATGAACATCGACTCTGGGATACAGATACATTCAGCTGACTGGTCCTAAATAAGACAAAACGCACGTCGCGGATTCCACTGTTAGTCACATTCTATCTAATCCCCACCAACCTGTGCCCTAATGGTTATATTGAGGCAGTTCACCCAGGATCCACATATGGCGACTGAGACTGATCACATTTCATTTGAAAATATTGACAACTTTATTGTCCACACCAGTTCATATCGAAATAAAACTTAAAATTTGTTTGTTTTAATCCATTTGTGTTTCAGATTTTCGTTGAATCGCAGCATATAAATGTTCTATATTTATTTTATTTTAAACAAATGACTCATTAAAATAGCTGAATACACCACCATATTATCGCTTATATTCAATTTTATTTTTTTATATACATTAAAATATCTCAGAAGTATGTTTTGATTCTTTATATTGTTTACTGTTTATTCAATATGATCGATTCATTAAAAGTGTTTATTATCAATAATCTCTTATTGAATCTTCAGCTAATTAGTTTGGGTAAATTTTTTAAGGTATAAATTTATCATTGAAAAATTTCCAGATAGTTTTTGTGTTAAATTAATTGTGAACCTAAGAACGTTTTTATGAAATTGTCATTTTAAGTGCATTCAGTCTTTATTTTTTTCGTGTGTTTCGATTGTTTACATAGGTACTTGCAAAACTTGTTCCAGAAGCTCCATTAATTAGTGGTTTATCTGTACCTTCACTTAATGATTGGACTACAATCCTTGAAGGTCCATGTTTAATTGCTTGGGCACAACATGTTGATTGTGAAGCGGCAGGATTAGGTGGTATTTCTTCTAACAATTTATGGGGTCGTATTCCTGGTACTCCATTTTATGTTTTAAATATGATAAAACAGGAACATTTTCCACCTACATCTGTTGCAACAACAACTACCGGATCTGCTTCAACCTCATCAGGATTACAACACCAAATTTCAATGAAATTGAGTAAAGTTTCAGGAAATGTGTTTAAACTAGGCTCTAGTTCTTATTCAGGTTCTCTGACCAACCAAACTAATATGAATGAACAAATATCTAGATCCAACATGAATACAAATACATCACTTGTCAATAATAATGTACAAATTAACTATTTAAGTCAACCTAATGGTACTGGTTTCCGAATGATTCAAGAAAATGCTGTAGAGGTAATTATTATTTCGGTTGATTTTATTGTTTTTCTGTTTCATTTAGAACATTAGTTCATGACTAACTAGTAAATTTACATTTATCAATCGTTTCGATTTGTCATAAACTTTATCCAAACATTTTATTATCTTTACATTTGATCTAAAAATGGTGTTGGATTTTCAAGATCTATTCTTTCTTTTTCCAGTAAATATTCACTAATCATTAATATTTGTTAAATGAGATTCATTATAGAATGCTTAAGCTGATGTATTCACAAAGTATTTTCTCTGAAAGCCTTTCAATGAAAGCAGTGAATGAACCACTTAATTAGTATTCTAGTCATTTATCTATATATTTATTGAATGAAAAAATAACCTTTAACACTCTATACTAATTAGTCAGTATGAAAATTTATATTTATGAAATTAATAAGGGTAGCAAAAACTGATGATGATCTTGATCTATAATGCAAGTACATGTTCCCAGATGGTATGATTTCTCACCTTGAACTTAAAACCGACTGTTTTTTTATAAGCGGAAAATAATCAATCAAATTTAACGGAGAAACAGAATAACAAAATAAATGACAGTCACGGAATGCATGATATATATATAAGGGACCGTAATCTTCATGAAGTAAACTTTTTGACTCGTAATTAAGGAAATAAAGTTTACTATCACGGCTACGAGGCTTTCGCGTTTTGGTTAGCGTTGATGTATACGGATAATAATTCTGCAAAGAAATAAAACATTGAAAACGATTCTGTAGGCGGAAAAAAACAGTTCAACAACACGCTAAGAATTTGAAACAATCAACATTGAAACTAAATCAATTACCAGTGATTTCATGAATCCATACTATAACACTTAAAATTGTATTATATAAGAAGTTTAAATCATGAAATAACACGAGAAAGAACTACTTTAAACAGTGCAATAACCAAATATCACTTGAACATACATGAGGTCAAGACCTTGTAATCTTTCAAGCGCCAGTCTTCATTAGCACAACACGATTAACACCGGATTCACAGAAGTAGTTAATTCAATGGTGATAATATATAAAAGAAAGATTGCATATAAGGACACAGTACAGGAAGAAAGAATTAGTTCGTAGAAAGAAAGATATGAAGCGATTTTAATCTCTTAGTTTAAGGGAAGACAAATAGTGTGTACACCAACGCCACTGAGATCGATTCTGAGCCATGTCACCCAGTCTCCAACCATTTATTACGATAGTCACGCGGACCCCAACCAAATAGTCTGCATCTACTAACATGGCTCAGACTAGAAGTTAGTGACTTCAAGCACTGATGACACGTTTTAGTTTGGCCGACCCTAACTTTCTTCCAACCATCTCCAACACCAGTTAGCATTGCACGTCGTGGTAATCGGTGTTCAGGCATTCGTAACACTTGGCCCAACCATCTCAGTCGATGAAGATTCACAACTTCATCAACTGATTTACCGTCACTCCCTAATACCCTGCGTCTAACCTTACTATTACTTACCCGGTAATCCCAGGAGAAAATTAATAAGAGTATATAAATAGTACTTTTTCTCAGTCTATAAACCTTCAGTAGGAAATTTATTTATTTATTTGAACACATATATATTGGTACAGGAGTGCGCCAAATATATATGCGCCACACTAAACAATGAGAATTTAAGAAGAAAAAAATTAGGGAACTAAAAACATTTTTGTTTTTAAAAAAAGATTAATAATAAATAGATTGGTGTAAGGGAGTGTAGTTATAATCATAGTCATAATGGGGGAACGGCAAGGTACAATCAGAACAAATCTTTCATTTAAGGATGAAACAACCACTTTAATGAAGAAAGTAAAAGGTTACAGCAGGATCACCCCTGGTCTCTATTCTGAGCCATATCTGATAACGTCTCTAGCCACTGTTTAGCACCATCTCTCGGACCCCAACCAGGGAGTCGTGAAGGACCAACACAAGCCAGTTTTTTGCAGCTTTCTTTCATACCACGACACCATGTCATATACTGACCACCTCTCCGCTTTTTCCAACCAATCCCAGAGTCCGCAAATAATGCACGAAGTGGAATTCTCTGGTACGACATTCGTAGAACATGTCCAAGCCACCGAAGTCGGTGATTCAAGATAGTGAAACTAATTGCATTTTTGTCTCTGTGCCCGAACACACGATGCCGAACCTCTGCATTACTGACATGGTGTTGCCACCGGATGTCAGCAATCCTTCGGAGACAACGATGATCGAACACAGAGTCGTCTAAAGTCCTCAACTCGGAGAGGCCAGGTTTCACAAGCATAGAGCTAAACTGCTCTCACCGACGTGTTGTAGATCCGACCTTTTACAGCCAGACTAACATCACGAAGGCACCAAAGATGGCCCAGATTGGCATAAGCCGCTCTGGCTTTCACTATACCTGAATTGATCTCATCACTCACGCCACCACAAGAACTTATGCGGCTACCTAGATACACGAACTTCTTGACTACGTCTATCTGCTCACCACCCAGGGCGAGTACAGGATTAGAATCCTGCCAGTTTTGTATAAGTACTTTGCACTTCGAAGGTGCAAAGCACATACCATACCTACGGACATTGATTGCCAACTGATTAAGTGCGGATTGCATGCCTTGGGCATCATCACACAGTAAGACAATATCATCCGCATACTCAAGGTTGAGAAGTCTTTCTCCAGGCAACAGATCCACACCACCATTACTTACATCCATCAGAGATGTTTCCAGAATGTCGTCGATGTCAAAGTTCAAGAGGATTAGTGAGATTGGGCAACCCTGTCTAACCCCACTGCTCGAATAGAATAATGGAGAAAGGTGGTTGTATGCCCTCACTCTCCCTGAGGTGTTTGTATACAGGGCTTTTAGGATGTTAATAAACTTCTCAAGCACATCCTTCTTCAATAGACAATCCTAGAGAACAGTCCTATCCAACGAATCGAAGGCAGCCCTGATGTCAAGAAACACTACGACTGTTAGCCTTTGATAAGTATGACGGTGTTCTAACATTTGGCGGGAGGTTAAGATATGATGAATACAACCTCGACCAGAACGAAACACAGCCTGCTCCTCGCGAGTCAATCTTCCTCAGGTTTTGAACAACCTACGAAGTATGACGGAAGGCAATAGCTTGGACGCAATCGGAAGTAGACTTATCCCCCGATAGTTGTTGCAGGAACGACGTGAACCCTTTTTAAAGATAGGGACAACTATCGACTCATTCCATGACGTTGGTACACTCTCTAGTTCCCAAACCTTTGCAAACAACGTCGTCAATTCCTTAGTCAACAAGTCACCACCATCTTTAAAAAGAGCCGGAGGTAAGTCATCTGGGCCAGGTGATTTGTAACGCTTGAAGAGTTGGAATTCCTTGCGGACTTCCGCCTCATTTGGGACAGTCCGACCGATGTTGCCGGAGCAGCAGGCCAGTTGAACTGCCCTCCGAAAAATTCTGCCCATGGTCCAAGACGTCGATGGATGTTAGTGATTGGCATCCTATCATCCTCGCAGATTGTTTCGCTCACAGGAGACTCACGGTCACTCGGAGTAAACCGACGGGCTTCGATGAGTTGTAAGAAACCTGAAGAAACCCAGTGCTTATAAGTGAGACGTTTCGCGAAGCCGCAAGCGACTTTACTCGCCATTTTCATGGCGTCATGCAATTGCAACCAATGCTCATCTATACTTTTCGGTGGAGTGGTAGCTAGCCTAGAGGCTAGCTTGGTTCGATACTTACTAGCAACAAAAGTTGTAACCAGCTTGCTGACATCAATCCTTTGATGGCGGTCACTTCGTTGGTCACTGAAAAGTAAGGCAAGATTGGCGCAGACCAAGGCATGGTCAGAGTCCAGATAGATACTCCAAAAGGAGAGGCAGTCTTGTACACAACCACGCCAGCGATAGCTGATCGCGATGTGATCAATCTGAGTCCAGGCTTGGGATGCAGAGGGAGGACGCCAGGTGGCACATCGGCGATGACTGTGCCGAAAGTCAGTGCTAGCCAGAAACAGGTTGTGGTCTGTGCAAAGTTGCAGTAGACGGTCCCCGTTATCTGATCTGCGACCAACGAGTCCCCATCGGCCAACTAAACGACTCTCTTCTGTGCCTAGACGCCCGACCTGAGCATTCAATTATCCGGCTGGTACTACAATATCTGTCGAACGCACTTTCTGGAGAAGAACAGATAACTGGAGGTAAAACTCATCCTTGATTGCATCCGGGCTGCAATCTGTCGGGGCATAGGCGGAGATGACGAAAAGACATCGTTTCTCATGCCGATTTCTTCTCACTTTGATGGAACTTTCTAATCTAACAGCACATAACCGACTGTTAATGGGGATCCAATCGATTAGTGCTGCCTCAGCTCTAGCGCTTAGTGCGACACAAACGCCAGCAAGACCAGACGAAGATGCCACATGGTCCCCGGATATGCTGTGATACTACCCGGGTGCCCAGACCGAAGCAGGCGGTTTTCTTAGGGGGCCACACCCCGAGCCTTTGACCTTAAAGGTATGATTCACAAGGCAGTGGAGCATCGTAAGGAGATGCAGTCCCATGGTAGCCGGTGATCAACGATTGGTTCATACGCCATTTGTTCCCTCAGGATACTGGAGCCCATGTGCACCATTGGTTTGGGATCCGGTTAAAGCGCCGGACATTCGCTTCTCGTCCTCTCATTTTGGTAAACAACACCTCCGTGACGAGAAGGCAGTGAGTAGGACTTCCCTGGCAGAGGCTGTATACACGTGGCTGTGTGAGAGCATTTCGAGAGGGAGGGTGGGCCCACCTCACTCTCAGCCATACCAGGGCATTTGGGGGCTTCAGTAGGAAAAGAGCTTTCCATTTATTCAAGGGTTGTACAAATAGGATTTTTTCAAATAAATTCTAAGCAAATGTCAATAAAATTTGAAAAGTATTGTTGAGAAGAAGCTATGATATCTTATCATTTAACATTGACGAGAAACAATGTATTACAAATAAACTTAAAATTGGAAGTTAATCTAATGTTAACTTTTACGGTTGTCATTTTTACTTTTTTTTACGACATTGCATACTTTAATTATTCAGCCTGTTGTAATAAACTAAGAATCTGGGACCAATGTACTTTAGCTCAATTAGTCAGACCATATCAGCATAACAATACTGAATTTACACGATGATTATTGAAAGAGTTGAACTAATTATAGTAGCGGTCATGGTGAGGAAGACTAAATACTGAGAATAAAGTTTGAAAGGATAGAATGAAAAGGTGTATATGGACAAACATTGATACTCGTGTTCCCGATAAAAAATTGAACGGGTGTACACCCTTGTGACTGATTATGAGCTATTTCACTCAACTACTCTAGACCTTTCCTGTATTTCGAGGTAGCGAAGCATATCTCAAACATACTTTCATTGTTATTCAGGGCATTCATCAGACCTAGCATTTTGTCAGTAGCTACATCAATTTAACAATTTTTCTTAGGCTTTGACTTGACCAATAGTTTTCTCTTAGAGAGCTTTCACAAGGTTTTTATTCTATTTTCTCATTTCATTTAATGACACATACCCACTAAACATCAGTCAATAGAGTCGAATGCTATCTTAAGGACCAGAAAACGCCACTAAAGTTTGGCGTTGACATGCACTTCTATATTCTCAAACTTGACAAAGGGTCTGAAACAAGCTGTTAGTGTTAATTTTTTTTAACTGCATCTATATATTTATTAGTAATTTTCAGATTATTGATATTGGAAAGAAAGATGGATAGTGGCTAGCAGTGGAATCCAGGACGCGCGTTTCGTCCTGTTTGGGACTCGTCAGCTGGATGGATGTGCCTGCATCTCAGAGTTGATGTTCTTTGCTTATAATGCTTGTAAATTAAGGCGATATCGAGGCATACGCACAGTATGCACATATGCCAATAAGAGACTGATCAATTTCAGTCCTAAAACATCAATGGGAAGATTCAAGTAAAAACAATATCTCTGTTACAATGTTTAATTGAATTTTATTGTCACTACTATTGTAATTACTATCATCCTAAGAATTTGGTATATATAATTTGCGATTGTACAGCTTTGAAAATGAATTCTCCGAAAAACAAACTTTTTGCTGAACTGACCTTTCTTAATTGTTGATATGTTTTCGTTTCTTGAAAACCGTTTAACAATGTTTTGTTTTATAGGCTATACAATTATGGGCCCCGAACCAATTAAATTTCATTCACGAACTACTTGATCAACAAAAAACACAATTTTATCAAGTGAGTTGTTTTAGAATTCCAAGTTAATTTGTACGTTTCATATTTTTCATTACTCGAGATTTTCTCTGAAGTGTTTTCAGACTGCTCGGATTCCTCAATTCGTTAATTAGAACAACACATTTAAGAGAACAATATTGTTTTCAGTCAGATCCTCATCAGGCTTTAGTCTAATATACAGCAATATTTATATGTATATACGAAATTGTTAAACCAATCAAAGCAATTTTAAGTCAGTGATAACCGTGGAATAGATTACACAAATAAACATAATAAGTAAAATGTACAAATCGATAGAGTGATGACAGGTGTACTAGTTGTGATAAGAATAGCAAAGGCTTGAGTGCATGTTTCATGATGGGAAATAGGTCAATGACTTGAAAAATATAGATGCTGAAATAACATCCATAATGACTATAGGATTACGTGATAAAAAGCGTTCAAATAGTTGGACAGTTAGGCGTATATTTGAAAAAAGTAGAGGTCAAAGAAAAATAAACGAACAAAGATTTTGTAAAATAATAATAAATAAAATCGTGTATTAAGGTTAATTAAATCAAAGAATAGATAAAGATGTTACGAATTTCTTATGAATACGATGAATTGGATTGTTAACTCCATTTCCTATAGCTTCTATTATGTTTGGGGGACGAATGGAGCCCTGCAAGGAGAACTAGTAAGAATAGAATAAGCCACTTTAAATAACATTTTTCTATATACTACATGACTGCTATTGATCAGGCGTGGTAGAACAGAGCTGCATATTGTTTTGACAATACTTCTTCCTAACCAAGATGGAAGGTGTTCTCCACGTTGTCGGCTCGATTGTCTGGTTGTGCTCCCAATATAGATTTCTCCACAGGAACAGCTGAATTCGTAGATACAGATAAATGTGCCTTAGTTGTGGAATCACCATAGGTCGGTTCAAGAACGATGGACAGTGGTTAGCTGCATCAAGCGTTCTCTTCACTGGTCTGATTAGTCTATCCGGTAGTACATCACCAGACATATCACCGTTGATTTGTAGCTTCAGGAAGATGGGTTTCCTACTAGCTGTGGACTTTGTTATTTTCCTGTTTATTACATGCAAACGTTTCCACAGAAAACCTTGTAAATAACATATTTCAGTCAACATTTTATGGATAAGCTCTAGTTCCTTGTTAATAATGTCGTCTGAGCATATCTTTCTAGCTCTATTTGCAGGACATCACACTAGATTTCCTTTGTAATGAATGTATACACAGCTGATGAAATGTGTGTGCTGGCTTACTGAAGAACTTTTCTTATACATATTTTTACTGTTAGAACCACTTTCTTTTCTGTTCAATAAAACGTTGACGAGATGTAGTTTGTGATCAAGTTTCTCTTCACATGCAAATGTGATCGCAGAACTTTTGTTGTTAAAAAGCATTAAGAGTTCTTTTTTCCCAATGTTCAAACCAACGATAGTGAAAATGTCAATATAACGGCAATAAAAGTAAGGTTTATCAATAACGTTTTTCGGGAGGTCCATTTTCGTTTGCAGTTTTATACTCGTCTTCAATTCATAATGACGAATCTATACAGGAATGAACCCAAGACTAATATTTCGTGACGAGCCTGATATTGTTGAAGTTTTCGAAAAATGTCCATCTAACGACATTAATAACTGATTGTAGTCTTATTATCGTTATTTTCTAGAATAAGTAATCAATTAATCAAATTTCGCACGGATATATCAGGTTATTTTTAGACTTGTTTAAATACGGAATTTATGAGATTGGGGATAATTTTGAATAGGTATCAATATGCGTATCAAACCAATAAATTATGTATTGTATATCACGTACCAAAGTTAGACAACAATTGAAAACCAGGAAACACTCGACATCTGTCTTATTCTAGTATGGATCCTCACATCAATGTCGATGCACAATTCTGTCGACTTTAGAACCCAAGACTTTCTGGTCTTTAATTATTGTGACTAAAATTTGTCCGTGCTGTAAACTTCAATTCTATCAATCTCCACAATCACACATTAAAAGTAAACTTTTTGTCCACTGAATTAAAGGTCACTCGCTGACAGTTATATATGTGTGTGCGGTTTCCAGATATCTGTTTTTTTTTACCTCGATATGTATAGTATCACATAAAATTAACATTTATTTTGTTTTCAGAATTTATCTTTTAATCAGCGTCATCTTGAAAGTGAATGGGAAAAAATTGAAAATGAACTGACAAGAGAACGCGGTCTATGGGGCAGAGTTACACCGGATCCTTTAGCTAAATGGGAACTAGACCCAACTGAAGGTCCTTTAAGAATGAGAAAGCGTATGATTTTGAATAAATCATTCAATTCACGTTATCCTTACTTACCAAGTTATTTAACGCGTCTATTGCTTCGTTCTCCAAATAGTGATGTAAGTAATGTTTACTTTATGATCAGTATTTGTTGTTTAACAGCTTCGATGAATTTATCAGCTGTTTCCTGATTAGGAAGACAAACCTGAACGTTTCGGTCTCCTATTTTCTAATTACAAATATTGCAGCCAAACTTCTTGGTTTATAGTTGTTTTAATCGAACAATTATAGTTAATTTTATTGGCTCACATTTTTCAAATAAAAAGCTTTACAGGTTGTTGCAACGTTAAATATTAAAAAACCTGAAACGAAAGCATCACAGTTGCTGACTCATTTTCCTTCTGATCTATTCTCTGAAAAAGTGAGATGCGACTAGTTCGTGTATCATCCATTATATATGGTATGGATAAAAACAAATATAGTCACAGCAACTGAACTGGTAGGAAGATTTCGCTAGTGAAAATAACTATTGGTAGAAGATTTATTAAGTTTATTTCTTAATAATCACAATGCATAAATGCATATTAAGTAAACATTTGTTGCAATACTACGTAATTAATTCTGGGACTTCCTCTGGTTAGTATTTGTTTTTTACGGAGTGTAGTTGCTATCTCCTAGTGAGGCTACAAGCGAAGTTGAAACTTCATCTTAGTAGCAAAATTCACAGTATTGAATAAAGAAAATCGTATTATTATTATAACACTTTACTCATCTCTTTTTGTCATCAATGTCCGTGTGTAACCGACTGGATACTCTTAATTAGTTTTCAAGTCAAGAAATGATATTATTTTCGGCATAGCGATATATTATTTGATATCATTATCAAACGTTAAAGGTATCTATAACGATGATGGAGAATATTTAACGAAGTAATTCAAGGATAAAAATGATTAAAATCATTATATTCAGCGGTATTGAGTGATCAATAAATTGAAATATTTCTGTTTAAAATTGATAGATTACATTGTATGTAGTAAGAGGATCGGAAAAATTTATTAAGAAATTGAACATTCCTAGTAGTTGACGTTGATGTTAACTAAGCGACATATTTGATGGAATACGATACATAAATTGGGGTTTTTTATTCAAATTCACTTAATATGTACCACTGTATCAATTAACTGGAGATGTATCAAACTCTCTAAAGCATCCCAGTATTAACGTTTTCTTAATAATACAGAATGATATTCAAAAATTCAGTTCGTTAATTATTATCATGACGGATGGAATCATATGATCAACCCGTTTGATGTACACAATTTTTTGAATGTACATGCATATATTATTGAATATGAACACTTCATAAATCTAATTTTAGTGTTATTTTGAGGTGTTATTTATTTATTTATTTATTATTATTCAACACTTGACATCATGTTGTAAAATGACCTTTGATAAAGTTCACATCAAAAATAATCCTTCTGAGCAAATACATATTGAAATTGATCATTTTTGACTAATATTTCATTCTGAAGTTGATTTTAAAAAATTCTAGGGAATGCTATGAAGTTCGCTAAAACTGATATATATAAATATATAGGTCAACTAGACAAGTTGAAAGATTAGATAAAAACAAAGATAAGCATAACAGTGTGAATCATATCATTCTGAATAACAAATTAGTATGTCCAGAGTGGATTAAATGTAAGTGCGAATTATTTTTGAAGACAGCTAGGTAAAGGGGTTCAAACGTTAAAACTGTCATCACAATAAAATTGATAATTTGAAAATTGATGTAATTAGTTGCTTAAAATGGATACTAATGTCAGTTATTTGTGCACTATGTTTTTAATAACAATGAGCTCTAGTAATCACGCTATCAATAGTTTAGGTTCAAGTTCGAATTTAGTTACAGACTGAGATACTTTGTTTCTAAACATGTCATATCTTTATATATTTGGAGAAAAAAAGTACACGTAGACATTTTGATCACATATATGAATGACACTCAAACTAATCACCGTTATCTTAATATCTATGCTCATGCCCTCAAGATTTATCGTCATTGATGAAAAAGTTGTAGTCGTTTTTGTGTCTGATGGCCGACGATAATAATGATCTCGTTCCGCGGATATATTGTGTTAAATCATTCCAAAGCCTCGAAGGTTTATTTGCACAGTAATTCATATAACCGGTAGATTTAGGAATAGATAGTTTGACTTATGATAAAGAGTTACGAACGGTAATAACTCGGTGATTCTGCATACTGGATTAAAACGGTGAATGTAAACGACAGGTAGTTTAGTATTTTGAAGTACGAGGTCAGAGTCAGTTTGAGTCGTCGCCTTCAGTTGCTTGCAATTATTGTTTGTTATCGTACAATAATATATTCAACAGTTTAATTTATGGGACGTTTTTCTTAACTTATTATTATTATTTAAACTAAATACAAATGCGCCACATAAATCATTCGATTTGTGTGAGGGCTGTGATACTGCCCAGGTGCGCCCAGACCGAAGCAGGCGGTTTTCTTAGGGGGCCACACCCCGAGCCTTTGACCTTAAAGGTATGATCCACAAGGCAGTGGATCATCGTAAGGAGATGCAGTCCCATGGTAGCCGGTGATCAACGATTGGTTCATACGCCATTTGTTCCCTCAGGATACTGGAGCCCATGTGCACCATTGGTTTGGGATCCGGTTAAAGCGCCGGACATTCGCTTCTCGTCCTCTCATTTTGGTAAACAACACCTCCGTGACGAGAAGGCAGTGAGTAGGACTTCCCTGGCAGAGGCTGTATACACGTGGCTGTGTGAGAGCATTTCGAGAGGGAGGGTGGGTCCACCTCACTTCCGGCCATACCAGGGCATTAAAAAAATGAGTTCAAATTACATACATAAAAGAGTTTCTTTGGAAGTTGCTTTGATTACACATCAGCATAGTTATAGCAAAAGTGTAAATAAGCTTTATAGACTGAATAAAATATTGTAAATGTATATCTTATATAAAAGAAAATTCTACAACATTGATTGCAACAAGAGCCCAAAAGCCTAAGAACTAGTGTCTCATGTAATGATTAAACTCTAATAATATATAATAATAAAGTGAATAGAACTTAGTTAATTAAAACAAGATTACTGTTCTAAAAGATAGTCGTAATAAAAAGACATAATGATGTAATTAAATAAAGAAAGAATTGAACAAAATTTTCTGATGTAATTAAAAAATGTTTGTGACCACAAATAAAAGAAAGATCAATATCCTTTTGAACAAACAAATAAGTCTTCGGATACTTTGTTTTGGTAAACTTCAGAAGCAATAATTATCCGATGTCTAACTAAGACTCGTGAACTGCAAACGCGTGAAAATCAGGCTGGCTTCAGACCTGGTCGTGGCTGCATTGACCACATATTCACCGTTCGTCAGGTTCTAGAACACAGACATACTTATCGTCGTACGACAATGGTGGTCTTTCTTGACTTAAAAGCAGCATTTGACTCGGTAGACCGCGAGATTCTGTGGCAGTGTCTGTCATTGAAAGGCGTACCCCAGAAGTACATAAACCTTGTAAAGGCTCTTTACTCGAACACTACTAACCGAGTCGGAGCTTATGGCGAAATGTCTTCTGCTTCTGCAACCTCTAGTGGTGCCCGTCAAGGCTATCCACTTTCTCCATTTTTGTTTAACTTCATCACAGACATGCTGATGGAAATAACGCTCTCATCAACTGAATTTTCGGGCATTGATCTCCTATCAGTAGTTCTACTTATCGAATTAAAATACGCAGATGATATAGTCCTGTTTGGTGAAGACGCTGATAAAATGTAGAATCTTTTGGTAACACTGAGGAACGATGCCACAATGTTTGGGATACGTTTCTCTCCCTTTAAATTCAAGTTGTTGCTCCAGGATTGGCCTGCGTCAACACCTGAAGTAAGGATTGGGAGTGAAGTAGTCGAACGCGTTGACAACTTCACTTATCTTGGAAGTGTGATCAGCCCTAATGGGTTGGTGTCTGACGAAATCTCAGCACGGATTTGAAAAGCTAGCTTGGCTTTTGCCACCTTACGTCACCTATGGCGAAGGCGAGATATCCGTCTATCAATAAAAGGACGAGTATACTGCGCGGCAGTCCGTTCTGTCTTACTTTACGGCAGCGAAACATGGCCTTTAAGAGTAGAAGACACTCGTAAGCTACTAGTATTTGACCACAGATGCCTTAGAAATATTGCTGGCATCTTCTGGGATCACTGGGTAAGTAATAGTAAGGTTAGACGCAGGGTATTAGGGAGTGACGGTAAATCAGTTGATGAAGTTGTGAATCTTCATCGACTGAGATGGTTGGGCCAAGTGTTACGAATGCCTGAACACCGATTACCACGACGTGCAATGCTAACTGGTGTTGGAGATGGTTGGAAGAAAGTCAGGGTCGGCCAAACTAAAACGTGTCATCAGTGCTTGAAGTCACTAACTTCTAGTCTGAGCCATGTTAGTAGATGCAGACTATTTGGTTGGGGTCCGCGTGACTATCGTAATAAATGGTTGGAGACTGGGTGACATGGCTCAGAATCGATCTCAGTGGCGTTGGTGTACACACTATTTGTCTTCCCTTAAACTAAGAGATTAAAATCGCTTCATATCTTTCTTTCTACGAACTAATTCTTTCTTCCTGTACTGTGTCCTTATATGCAATCTTTCTTTTATATATTATCACCATTGAATTAACTACTTCTGTGAATCCGGTGTTAATCGTGTTGTGCTAATGAAGACTGGCGCTTGAAAGATTACAAGGTCTTGACCTCATGTATGTTCAAGTGATATTTGGTTATTGCACTGTTTAAAGTAGTTCTTTCTCGTGTTATTTCATGATTTAAACTTCTTATATAATACAATTTTAAGTGTTATAGTATGGATTCATGAAATCACTGGTAATTGATTTAGTTTCAATGTTGATTGTTTCAAATTCTTAGCGTGTTGTTGAACTGTTTTTTTCCGCCTACAGAATCGTTTTCAATGTTTTATTTCTTTGCAGAATTATTATCCGTATACATCAACGCTAACCAAAACGCGAAAGCCTCGTAGCCGTGATAGTAAACTTTATTTCCTTAATTACAAGTCAAAAAGTTTACTTCATGAAGATTACGGTCCTTTAACGCCATGGTTACAGCTTAGCAAATCTATGAAACTGGAAGAAATCATTGAAATTTTAGAGGAGGCAGACAATAATGCAACAAGCCAAACATCACAGCTTAGTGAATCATGTTTTGATGGCCCCGTTTCAACTGATATTGAACAACAACAAAAACATACAGATGATGACGATAGTTTGAACTGTTGTACAACAGTAACACCAGATTCTGAATTTACTGAACTAAGTCAGTCGTTGGATCCAGAGAGTTTAGAATGTGAGTTATATATATCATGCATCATGGATTACGTGACTGTCATTTATTCTGTTATTCTGTTTCTCCGTTAAATTTGATTGATTATTTTCCGCTTATAAAAAAACAGTCGGTTTTAAGTTCAAGGTGAGAAATCATACCATCTGGGAACATGTACTTGCATTATAGATCAAGATCATCATCAGTTTTTGCTACCCGAAGAATGTTCATCTATCGTTGCTGGTTAACGAGCTTTTACCTTTTGTTTAAAGTTGCTCTTCGTCAGAGTTTCCTTGTCAAAGCTTAAAATATAAATTATAAACTAAGCACGTAGTTATGTAATACCTGAATGGTATAATTATTATAAAGTATGTAAAAAGACAGAATTATTGCACTAATAAGTGATATTCATTTTTCATGCTGAATCAGCCAGTTTTGTAAATTAGAGCCAATTATAATTTTTTGTTCTATAATCACAAAATTATATTTGTATTCAATAAGTATAGATAATTTATTACTGTAGCAGTTGGCGTCTAACTAAAAGTTACTTCACGTGCTATGCAGAGTAATGTGAAGTCTAGAAAAAACAAGAACAAAAGAAAACGTGGTTCAATGACTCAGCAAGTGCACACAATGCACTTACATCTACTACGAAAGGCAATGAACATCAGTAATACAAGCCTCAGATTAAGACAATCTTGGAATTAAAACTAGAAGTAGATAGTTTAACTCGCTCTAATTACAAGATTTAATATCTGCTTTTTTTTCTGAAGTTCGTGATTGTTTGTTTAGCTGGTTTTCTTTCCAAATTTATTGCTGTTAACAAAAAATCTTATTCATTATATTTTAAGGTTTTTTTCTTGTCAGTTATTTGCTAAGCAAAGTTGACAGGATAAGTTTGTTTTAGAAAAATACCTCCATTTCAGTATGAACATGGTTATTGTTATATCTGCAAAAATAGAATACATTTCTTTTGATTTTTCATGATCGGCTAGATAATTTATGAGAGCATTTATTTATTGTACCAGCTTATTGACTGTTCCGCTTATTACCTATAGGATCCAATGAACATGAAACAAACGCCTATTTATCTTTGAGTTTCTTGTAATCTAGTGTCCAATGAGAAGACAAAATGAGATTGTTATTCTTATTCCGATACTTATTTAATATAATTTGCATCGTGTAACTGATTACACAATAGCACAAACTTCAGGTAGACGTTTGTGCTGATGATGTCGTTCAGATGAACGATGAAAGCTTCACGACCAAATCTTCCATCTCAGAGAACGGAACTCCACCAAAATCACTCACCTAAACTACGTTGTAGCTGACTGACTGACTGACCTGAGCTACAAATCTCCACCGTCTTAGAATATATTTAAATACTATATCATTTCAACTTGATTAACCATTTTATGTTCTTCATAGTTCGTTCTGTTAGCTCTTAAGTAGATTAGCTGAACATTTACAATTTACAAAGTATATGTATCGAATAACTGATTTCATTTATCTTTAAACATCTTTGATGTGTAATGTAGGGATTATTATTATTTTTATTATCGACGTATAATCGAACAGTTCTTGTTTAATTCCATTTATTTCTTCCTTCCTCCTCTATCTTCTTCTCCTGGTCCTCAGTATCATTACAAAAAACAGCTTCATTAATTCGTTCAACACGAAATTCTGTATGCGTTGATCCACATCTGCGTAGAAATGATGATCTTGACGAATTAGTGACTATTTCAACGCAATCATTTGTTGAAGAACCGGATGAATTCAATTCATATTGTGATATTGTTGATGACGTCGATTCATCATCATCATCGTCATCATCTAAACAACAATTAGATCAATCTGACGATATTCGTTGTTCACCAAATCTAAATACCAAACATCAGCAGCAGTCACATTTAATAAAAGATACTTCAAATATCAATATACATAATAATACCACTACTAGCAGTAATGCTACTAATACTACTAATACTTATCAAAATGTTATAAAGGATATACCAAATCCTATGAATAATTTTATTGGTACTAATGAAGATAAATTAGCTGGTCATGAAGCTATCTTACGTTTATTAGAACCTGGTGAAAGATTACATGTTATGTATCGTTGTGCACGTATATTAGGTTTAGATATATATGAAGGTTTATTATTATTTGGTAAAGCTCATTTCTATGTTATTGATGGTTATACGTTGATAAATACACGTGAAATAGTTGCGATCGATTCATTACCATCAAATATTATTCATGAGCCAATTGTACCATGTGCTTTAGTTGGTACAATGGCAACAAAAAAAAGCAATAATAATACTTTGACTCGATCATCTTTTACACGTGTAAATATGAGTTCAACAGATTTATGGAGTTCCGGAGCTGTTAGTCAAATAGCTGGAAAACAGTAAGTTTCTAATTTGATTGATTGATTTATTTATTTTACCAAATAAAGTTGTTTTCTTTTTCCATGCTTTCAATGAATTTCATAATGGTTTGTAGCTGATATGCTTCTATTCAAATGTGGCTTATTGATTAGATTTGTCTGAGATTATCTTTTTCCAATGTTCAACAAAAATGAAATATCTAGCATTTTCGTTTTTGGTCCAATCAATGGGTTATTGTTGCATATAAAGAATAGTTTTTCACTAGAGATTTCATTCTGATCATCGAGAGCTGTTTACACATATCTTCTATGAGCACAATATTGTGCGACCAGACCATCTTAACTTGCTGAGTGAAAAAGCAATTAAACTGAAAGTTAGAACTTGAAATAAAATCTTCAGCGAAAATTGTGCACTTACATACCATTTTCATCTAATAAATGAACGAATAAATCTTCAAAAATACTTTATACCTCACACTCATTGAACATTGAGAAGTAGATAATGAACGCCTCCAAGTGCCCTGGTACGATCGAGGGTAGTGAGAGTCAGCTCTATCGAAATGCTCTCACATGACCACGCGTATACAGCTACTGCCAAAGAAGTTTTACTCACTGCCTTCTCGCGCCGGGGGTGTTGTTTACGAAATTGAAAGGATTAAAAGCGAATGTCTGATGCTTTAACTAAGTTAGTGGATACGTAGGACCCACCTAGGGGAGTTGAAAAACG